GGAAGGTTTGTAAAAGGTAATTTGTGTTGTAGAGGAAGGTTTGTAAAAGGTAATTTGTGTTATGGAGGAAGGTTTGTATAAGGTAATTTGTGTTATAGTGGAAGGTTTGTATAAGGTAATTTGTGTTATAGTGGAAGGTTTGTATAAGGTAATTTGTGTTATAGAGGAAGGTTTGTAAAAGGTAATTTGTGTTGTAGAGGAAGGTTTGTAAAAGGTAATTTGTGTTATAGAGGAAGGTTTGTAAAAGGTAATTTGTGTTGTAGAGGAAGGTTTGTAAAAGGTAATTTGTGTTATGGAGGAAGGTTTGTATAAGGTAATTTGTGTTATAGTGGAAGGTTTGTATAAGGTAATTTGTGTTATAGTGGAAGGTTTGTATAAGGTAATGGTCACAATAAATATATAAATAAATCATATGACAGCACAATTACCACATCATAGTGTTTTTTGTATTTTGTATTTTTACTTTTAAATTATTATTAACACATTAACAACCTTTACATTTGAGCTACTTGAAATTAACACAACTATTTAGTGAGCAGGCCCTCTATAAGATGAAATAAACAAACACCGTCGCACAAACAATTTATTCTCATCTGATTAAATATGTATATATATAAGCTATTGTACATAATCCGATTCTTTTAGGCATAATAATCCCCCCTCTTAGTTACAAAATTATCTGTAAATTATCAGTTGGATTTATTTCCATGGATTAAGAGATAAATGAACTTTAGGAAAAATGACACTGAACTTGTAACTGTTACCAACAATAGAGTAATGCAGTAGTACCGCAGATCAGCGCTGGAATATGATTCGTCCTCGAAATGCGCAGAATAGAAAAAGTCACTAACTGCGACTAATAGGCGTCAAAAAGCCCTCTAGTTTCTCAATTCAATCCATGTTGGGGTTTAACTTGGGTTGTTATTCATGAAAATGTTTGTCTTTGATGTGAGAATGAAAGAAAACCACGTTGACACCCAAGACTATTTGTAGTGAACAAGATACTTGGGTTAAAAAACAAAACAAAACACTTTTTTACAAAAACAAAAAGAGCGAAAACTTGGAAATTTAAGAAACTTTTGCCACTTTATCATCGATATTCATCAAAATACTCGTCCCGACATGAGCATTATAAGGGACATACTTACCAATGTTTTTGTATGTCAAGAAATTTTGGTAAAAAAATTTTTTTTGGAAGGAAAATTACGTAAAATGGGATTTTAAAACGATTTTTAACGTAAAGTCATGCCATCTGTGAAAGTTTTTTTTTTTTTCAGTTTCTGTGTCTTGAAATCATGACAACAAAACTAAAACTATATCGTCTTTAAGTAATGAACACATGTGTTTTCTACATTTAGATTTGTATTAAGCAAGAATGGCAAAATTCTAAGAACAGCACAAAATACCTTCAGCGGTAAGTCTCAGGTTTACGACGCTAAAAATCGGGTTTCGATACCCGTGGTGAGCAAACTTCCATTCTCGTCTTTAAAATGTCAAATCTTCTACCTGTAAAGATAAAACTAATAAGATACAAATTGAGTAAGATATACATATTTATGAAATATTCTACTTATAAACGCATAAAACTAACCGTTTTTACACAGCTGCCTAGCGAACTTTACATAACGTTTTATTAGTTTTAAAATTTTCCTAATTGGGAAGTGAAAAGTGTTTTTAAAAGTTATTCTTCTTTACATAAAGTTTCGGTAACAACATGATTTTTAACATGTAATTTGCTTTGAATCCACACTATACAATTATTCCTTATTAACATTTACACAGCTTAGTTATTCAGTTCCCTAAGGCATAAAATTCCATTAGGATATTATTGATTTGGTGCAAAGCTACACGATGGATTATCCACGTTCTGTCTACCGCGGGGAACTGAGCTCCGGATTTTGGCGTTGTAAGTCCGTGAACTTACCGCTGATCCACCAGGGGATACTCTGCACGAAAGAATCAAACACTGATTCGTCGATATCTTAGTTAAAACTTGAGTCGTCCTAATGCATCTTTTGACTTATTTTGTTAGGGTAAAACCTCTCGTTTTCGATAAAGTGGCGAAGCATAAATGAGCTACATAAATATATGATGCAATGTCTTCTATTTTGTTTTACAAGTTATTTATTAGGGTTAGTAGGATACTTCGAATGATCAAGGCGAGTGTCATTTTCGCAGGAACTCACTGAAAGAACGAAATAAATATCTACAAAAATGGTTATCTGTGCCCTGCCAACCGCGAGTATCAGAACCCAATATTTCGCGTTATAAGCCCTTAGGATTACCTCTGAACCACCATTCTTTCGAGATGGTTTTATGAAAGTGTTTGTAGTATACATAACTCTGAAATATTCAACACAACTAACAATACTTTGTTCTTCAATAAAGAAATAAAAACTTGTCATAAAAACAAAGCATCACTGAATCTCATCTAGCTTGTTTGTTAATTTAAAGATT